GGTTGGAGCCGAGCTGGGAAGAGAAGGGGTTTCCTAGATTTCATAATATTCCTTTGTTTCCTGACGTGAGTCTTCGCAGCTTCACGTTGTCTGAGTGTTGCAGATGCAGCGTGAACATGCAGAGGACCCACAGAGCCAGCGAGGTGGGTTGGGAGGACACAGCTGAGTACCAGGGCTGCCCAGCAAGGTGCCACAAAGTGAGTGGCTAAGACAAGGGACTCTGTCACAGTTATGGAGGCTGGAAGTGCCGGCCAAGTGTTGTCTTCCCTCTGTGTGTGTCCAGCTATCTCCAGGTCTCTCTGTTTTACAGAGACATCAGTCCATGGATTTAAGGCTCACTCTAGTTGAACATGACCTCATCTTATCTTGATTATGTCTATAAAGACTCTGCAGTAGTCCCCCATTATCCAGCATCAACCACAGTCCAAAAACATGAGACGGAAAATTCCTGAAATGAGCAATCTGTAAATGTCAAACTGAGAGCTGTTGTGAGTAGCATGGTGAAATCTCTCACTATTCCTCCGTCCAGCCTGGGCTGTGAATTGGTCCTTGGTCCAGCATATCTACATTGCCTGTGCTACTTGATTATATAGGATAAAACACAGTCTGTCCACTATTATCTGTGGTTTCAGGTATCCCAGGGAGGTGGGGGAGTTGGAACATATCCCTTGTAGATAACGGGAGACGACTGTATTTTCAAATAAGGCCATTTTCACAGGTCCTGGGGGTTAGAGTTTCAACATATCATTTGGAGGACATAATTCAACATATTGCATCATCATTTTTTAAATGTGTTCTCACCTGCTTCCTGGGCATGTAGGGAATGAACTACAGAATTTCTGCATATGGGCCTGGCCCCTAATGCGGGCCCCTGGGCCGTAGATACCCTGGGCTATGTTCAGGCATCACCTTCCTCACCCTCCCTTGTTGCAGATGTGATTTTCTTTGTCTACCTTTTGGAGTTAGTTGCTTGTTTTTGTGTCCATTAGAGAATATTTCTGCTCTACTGGAATAGGGCACGTGGAAGAGATCAGACCTCACAGCCAGCAGATACGCCCCAGGGGTCTGGAAATACAGCAAGAAGCCAGTTTGGGGCAAAATTAGGGAAGACTAAGGGTCCTAGAAGATGTTAGACATTGCAGGCGCTGAGGGCTTGCAGGCAGATTGGATGAGAGTGGTCCGTGGTGCTGTGGGGGGTCCTTGTGCATCTCTGGCTGTTATGAACACTGCAGCATCTCATGAGCAAATTGTGGCTAAGGAAACTGTGGTCTGGTGCTGCAAGACCTTTCACCCCCGAAGCACTTTCCTTCGAGCACAGGAATGAAGCTGCATGCAGGAGGTTAGGCAGTGATCCAGCTACACAGCGCCTAGACACTTTGGGGAAGCCTTGGGAGACAGTGTGTATCGGGAGGCAGCTGTGCCCACGTGGGCCGCAGCCCTGGGGAGCGTTTTCCTTTGCTGCTGCCCCCCCGACTCTGCCACATGTTTGTATGGAAGTTTGACCTTTCATTCTTTAAAGACCCATCTCCCTGGAGTTCATTCTTTTGAAGTCATAATTTTTTGTGTAATGTTTCCTAGTCATCTTGACTTCAATTAAAGTGTTACGTGTCACAGATGGAGAAAATTAGCTGGGCTTTTTGCGTGCTGTTTCAGCACAAAAGAAGGTAGCAGTGATCAGAGGCAAAGACCCGAAAGTGGTCAATTTCCAAAGCCTACCGGAAGTGGGTTTGGTTGTCTCACAGCACCTGATTTGGTTCTTTCACAAATAACGGAGGTGCTCTATGGAGCACACAAATCTGATACTGTTCTCCGGCATCTCCATTATGATAGCTATTTTCTCAGTGCCTGTGAAGAGCAAAGCTGCACATTCATAGGAATCCCCCAGATTCCACACTTCATGGTTGATCCTGTGGGACCTGCTATTAGTATTGTGCTGCCCCAGTAGGAAACTGAGACTACTGGAGCTCCCCAGGTGATGACGCTTGCCTGCTCTGACCCAGGCCTGCAGTCCTTCCAGATTGGAGGTGTTCTTGGAGCTCCATTGGCAAACCTGTGGCAGAGCCTCTGTGCAGGTCTCTTCCTGTCGGTTCCTCCTCTGTCCCTGTAGCAAGTGGGAGTCTTTGAGATCATGGGAACTGGGAAGGGAAGGCACCCAAAGATGTGGTCCTTAATCCCTCTTTCCTCCCTTCCTTGAGACTGGCCAACCAGGGCAGTACCAGCCCTGCTAGAATTGTTGGGAAGAAGTCCATATTCATAGTTGGTAAACCTGACCTATGCAGGGGAGTAACTTGTTTTTCTGATTGAGAGCCATGTTGTCAGCCTCTCCTGGACCTCATGGTGAGGACCACCCAGAGCCAGCAATACAGCCCATGTACTACCAGCCACCTACAGCTGAAATGCTAGAGAGAAGGCTCAGATTGCACTTGCATTTACAGTCTCTCATTTTCTTGTTCTATTAAAGACATCCAAACAAATTTGGTGTCTGGAAAGCGAGGACCCATTAGCACTGGGTAATGAAGAAAATGCGGTCACATTAAGCCAGGGGAGTTTGTTCAACACATTCCTTCCTCGGTGTTGGAGAAGACATGCACACCATGTGACCCGAGGAATGAATGAGTAGTTCCAGGCCTTTTCCCAGGTGGATGGCAGAGAGTGGTGATGGGGGCGTGGAGAAGCTCTGTCCTTCCATCTGGAAAGGAACGCAGAGCCTCCTCGGCTGGAGCAACTCTGATGGCTGTCGTGATTTGTCACCCTCCTGCCCCTCCCAGCACTAGACCTGGTGACCTGCAGGCCAGGCTGGAAGGCCACCTGGGTACAGGCTGATTTCTTGATGTCCACGAAGTCTGTGGGTACCCAGTCCCGCCCCTGGGAGCAGCAGTGGTGGTAAGGAACTCAAGTTCCAATCCCCACTGTGCCCTGCCTGCCGCTGCTCACCTTTAGCCCACCACTCTCTTGGTGTGCCCTATTGGTTAGAGCATTCAGGGCCTGGCAGGTAACCGACGCTTAGTAAGCATTAGCTACTATTACGTCTACTTAGGCAGACTTACACAGGCATTGATTGCAATGTTGGATGCTCTCTTGCTGGGCTCTCCAGAGGACCTGGCTTATGAAACCCTGGCCCTTCAGGGTTTGATGGCCCACTCTGGGCATGACACTTGTGTCCCTGCTTTATAGAGGGTCAGGGTCTATGGTACTAACGAGGAACGTCTCCCTTCAGCCACACGCCTGTGTTGTGTGCATGTGAGGTCCCCCCCCACTGTCCTGCACGACAGCATTCCAGATCTTAACAGGCCTGGAGATTCAGCATGGAGGTCAGAAGAGGCTCTGAATCCAAGAACTAGTCTAACAAAACCGAACCTGAATGCAAGAAGCTGGTCTGCAGGAACAGCAGATGGTGTTTATTCGGTGTCTTGTCTGCCATCACTGTTCGAGGGATCTCCCATGGACTTGTTTACCTTGTGCCGTTCCAGTAGATAGTTGCTCACTTTGTCCCATTTTTCAGAAGAGGAGACTGAGGCTTAGAAGAGTTAGGAAGCTGCCTGAGGACAACCAAAGTGACGACTGGTGTTGGAAGCTGGGTGTGTTGTCACTGTAGATACGCACCACCATGGAGTGACAGACTGCTGCAGCCCTGCCCCCCTCCATGCCAGACAGCCAGGTGCTGCTCTGAGGCCCCGCCTGCATTTCAGGAACATCGAATGGAGGTTTACGGAGGCGCCACCAGGTGCCAAACCCCTGAACTTCTCACTAGAAGAGGAGGGAGACAAAGCATTAGCAGCACCGGCCTCCTGTAAGCATGACCGGAAGTGGAGGCAGCGTCAGAATGAGAACAAGTAACTCAGTGCAGGGGTGGGATGGTGCTCCCTGGAGGGGGCTTCTGAGCTACATTTTGAAGAATAAATAGGAGTTGACTGGGTGCTCCAGGGCAGGACCTAAACAGGCTGAAGAATAGCAGGTAAAGGTCACAGGCATAAAACAGGTTTTTTTTTAAAAAGGTGGGACTGCAGTCCCTTGGTGTGAGTGAGCAGTGAGGCACCAGGGAGATGCTGTGCGTGCCGAGACCAGAGAGCCAGTAAGAGCCAGGGACACAGGCCCAGTTTGCATGCCCAGGATGTAGGCAACTTAATTTCATAATTGCTAAAATAAGACAAATCCCTAGACCTTGATACATTTGCCAGCAGAATTTTCCCTGGTACGATGGTTGATGAGAACGATGACAAAAATAAATAAGCTCCCTGTACAATGCGTATTCACCGGTGCTAAGAAGAGTGTTGTTTTTTAATCTCTCCACTCCTTTCTCTTTTTTTTTTTTAATCAGCAATTCCTTTTGGCAAAAGTTATTCTCAGATGCCAGGATAAGTACTTAAGAGGGTTTTTGATTTTTTTTAATGTTTTTTTAAAGTGGGTTTTGATTGCATAAGAGCATCTTGTAGAACTGTTTCCAGTAGTGACTTTCTAGCAGGAATGGAGGCTAAGACTGATTATGTAATTGTTCCCTTAATCTATTCTCAGAACCTAACATGTTGCCAGCAGATGAAAAACCTAACGATCATAATGGCGTCAGAGTGTCTTTGCTACTCAGAGTTTCTGGCGCTAATGCCCTTGCATTGTTCACTGTAGAATAGAAATCAGCGGCTGAAATGGGACATGACCATTTGCCCAGCCCCAGCCACCCCAGACTCTGCTCCTATCTGCTCTGCCTTGCATGTGCAGCTCCCAGCCAGCTACTCTCCCCAGAGAAAGGCTTCACGTATGCTCGTTAGAGACCCTTGCTGGTGTCTCCCATGTTAATATTTGGATGGGGAGAGGCAGCCTACTTCTGCTGAGCTGAGGTTGCATTTTGCAAAGAGAGCAGAATACCATCTGTCAAAGGAGGTGGCGGGAGTGTGCAGATACTGCTTTGAATTCCATGAATGCTTAATTGCTGTAGATTTTCTTTTTAATTTGAGTCTTTGCATTTAGTTTGTTTGTTGTTTGTTCTTTTTTTTTTTATTTTTTAGAATAGTCCTTATCAGTGGCAGAAGATCCTTCTGTAGTATATTTTCAGTGCTGCCGTATCGCGACAGTACCCAAGTCGGGTATGTATATGCATGCATGCTTGTTGTTCTCTGGGGGCACGGTTCTCACATCTGTGTGCGTCATGTGTGACCCTTTCCGTTTGGAAGAACTTTTGTCTTGCTTTGACTCTGCCAATTCAGTATTTGTAAATTTGAAGGGAAAAAAAGCTGTTTCGCTTTCTTTTCGGCCAGAAAGCTTCCTTGTTTGTATGTCCCTGTTGTATTGCCTGTCTTTTATGAATGTGCATTTTGTGACATTGTCCAGTGTATAAGAATGTTACGGAGCCCACCATGCTCCATGGGGCCATGCCAACTTTTGGAAAGAAGGTAGGTCAGGGCCAGGTGTTGTGGCGGGCGCCTGTAGTCCCAGCTACTTGGGAGGCTGAGGCAGGAGCCTCGCTTGAGCCCAGGAGTTAGAGGTTGCTGTGAGCTGTGATGCCATGGCACTCTACCCAGGGGGATAGCTTGAGGCTCCGTCTCAAAAAAAAAAAAAAAAAAAGAAGGTATGTCAGGAAGGAATCAGACCAAACCCCATGACCATCCCACCTCCTTGCATCATGATCTCAGGCTTGGGGTCAGAAACTTACTGGCAAGCTGGAGCTGGCACCCAGCAAGTGGCAAAGGCAAAGAAGTGGTGCCAGGTTCAGGTGCATGTCACTGGCTGCAGGCCTGAGGACCGTGTCCTTCTCTAGGTCAACAAGCCCCTCCTTTTGCTCTGGAAAAAGTAAGTACTGGGTGCCTATCCTTGCAGAGCTGCCGCCACTCATCACCGTCCCTAAGCCCCGTGCTCATTGGCCATCCTCTGCACCTCAGTTCTCGCCCTCCCTTCACCTCTGCACGCTCCCAGTGACTGTCACCAGGGGGCTGCTGGAGTGAGAGTAGGACAGTTCACTGGGTAGGATGTCAAGAGCATCATGGGATGTTGCCTCTGGTCACTGTGAAAGCCAAAGACCACAGATGTGTAACCAGTGTCCCCGAGAGAGGCAGTGTGGCCCCTGGTGGGGTTCTGTGTGCTCATCTTCCACATCTCCACGTGTTCTGCCCCGGACACTCCTGCTGGCTGTGACCTTCTTTTTCCCTGTAGAGCTGTCAGACTTATAGCCTGTTGGAGTCACCTCACTGTGGTCCTCATCTGTACGCTACACTCTCAACGTGGTGGGGCAGAAAACAGCTCATCTTCACCCATGGAATCCTGAATGTCATTGATTAGACATCTGCTTACAGAGCAGTAATGATCGTACTGTTTATTGAGCACACACTTTGTCCTTTATTATCATCTGCATCCTTACAACAAACTTGCAAACTGGGTGTTCCTAGAAAAAGTCACGGCAAGTCCTATAGCTCAGAGGGGGCTGGTGGCTGCCCTGGAGAGCTGTTATGGGGAGGCTTACTTTACCTGACCAACCTGCTGTGGCCCCGGGTGTGGCTGTGGGGGAAGAGCAGGCTCATTGTCTAGGGAAACTGGCTCGTACCAGCCCCTAGAGCTGATGTGTGACCCCAAGAAGCCAGTTCACTCATCTTATTGCAAGTCATGGCCCCTGGACCCAGAATATTTGAGTGTGACTAGCCAGTGCACATACAGGCACCTGTATTCTCAGTAGAAAGCTCTGGGCCAACAAACAGGTCCTCTCTGGGACTGGGAGTGGATGGCACTGGTGCCAGTCTCATTTCTTTGGGCTTCCCTGGCTGACATTCTGATTGGCACGTTCTTTCTTCAGCTACATCCTGTGTGTTTATCAAGTGCTAGCTCTGGGACCAGGTACCCAGAACAAAGACAGAAGGATGCACAGGGTTTCTGTCCTCCTAATTTACAGCTTAGCAGGGGAGACACATTGAAATTACATGATTAATTACAACTTTTAATAAATGCTAAAGACATCCATCCAGTCAGGTGACTGCTGAGTCTTCCTGGCCAAGGACTCAGTCTGTTTCCTAAAGAGAGTTTGACTTCTCCACATTTTTTTTGTTTTTTGAGACAGAGTTTCACTGTGTCACCCTTGGTAGAGTGCTGGGGTGGGGGGGGTGGGCTGTCACAGCTCACAGCAACCTCAAACTCCTGGGCCTAAGCAATTCTCTTACCTCAGCCTCCCAAGTAGCTAGGACTACAGGTGCCCGCCACAGTGCCCAGCTGTTTTTTGGTTGTAGTTGTCGTTGTTTAGCAGGTCCAGGTTGGATTCGAACCTGCAAGCTTTGGTGCACGTGGCTGGCGCCCTTCTCACTGAGCTACGGGTACCAAGCTGGCTTCTCCACATTTTTATCTTTGAAGTGTCCCTGTTAGTTTCATTCTCAAAAGACGATCTTACTCCCGAGTTCTAGGGTCCCCTCACTGTGGCACCCAAGTGCTTATTCCTGTTTTGTCAGATAAGATCACTGATCCTCAGGACTTAAAGTCTTAGACATCAACTTTGGGCCAGAATGGGAATTTGACACCACTTTGTTCAGATGTAAGTTTCTCCATGACCCACCCTAGTACATGGGCCAGACAAGTGCCCTGTGTATAGAGTCCTTGCTGTGAAATGGAGCTTTACTCATGTCTGCTTCCCAGGAGTAAGTGGGCCTGAGGTTCCTGGCATGGCAGAGACTAGGTACAGTCAGCTGAGCAAGGGCACATATTTCTGAGAGCAAGAGAGGAGGGAGTCAGCATGAAGAACCCTGGAGAGATAGAGTTTTTTCACTGGGCCAAATCACCTTCTGTGGGCTTCCATTTGTACCTTTATAGAATGCGGAAGGCCAGTTACTACCCCACATCATTAATTTGAAGATGATGGCATTTTCTGTACAGCCAACAGGAATGCATCTTCTCTTAAATTACCCAGGTAGAAATCCCCCGAACTTTCTCCACTGGACATCCTTGTGGACATGCATGGCCGGCCACACTTATAAACACCTCAGGAAATGCTGGCTAGAATAGCCTTAGGAAAAGGTTTGTCTGTGCCTTTTCCCACTACCGGGGCCCCTCCTGGCCGCCAGCAGATCTGGCTCTTCCACCTGTTGGCCCAGGATGGAGAAGCAAAATGAGCATGTGGGATGCCAGGACGTCACCTTTGAGATCCCAGACAAGAGCAGATTCAAAGCCACCACTGTCCGAGTTTTGTAGATGAGGAACCCAAGGTGCAGAAAAGGTTCGTTTTCTATAACAAAAACCATGATTTGATCGTTTGTCATGCCTAACAGAAAAGAACATGCCTGTTTGCACAGCACGTTCTACTTAAGTCCTCACATAAGAAACTGTGAGCACAATTCAAAATATTGTGATCCAGCAGCAAGATTAAGAAGCATTCTACTTTTTTTTAATGAGCAAGTATCCTATTCATAAAACCCCATTTATTATAATTATAAGGGTTTTTTTTAACTAATTATTGGGAAACTGTGCAAATAAAAATATTCTAGTAAAATTTTACTAGTAAATATAATTTATACCTATAAACATTTTAAACTTCTTCAGATTTTTTAACTAATGCCTTTCCTAACCTTTTTTAGGTTTTTTAACTAATGCCTTTCCACTGTGGAAAATTTCTTTTATGCTAAAGGTCTTTCTGTGACTAGAATATAAGCCACAGAATGTCAGCCATGGAAAAGCCTCCAGAGATCCTGTGATTTGACCTTCCTGCCTGGCATCTGAGGCATAGGGGATGCAGCTTGCCCCAGTCCCTGTCCCCAGCAGCATTAGAACCCAGAATCCTGGCCCCCTCAGCCTGCTAATGCTGTGGTTCCCTATTCCCAGGTCTCTGTTGGATTTGTGCAGGTGGACCAGGCCAGACGTGCCTTATTATTCCAGAACAAAACCCCTGCCCTGCCCCCAGTGAAGGGGTTAATGTACAGTTCCAACTTTATAAGAAAGTAAGCTCACAAGTTCATCTGCTGGGTACTTGAACTTCCCTCACATGGAAAGCATCTATCAGAGGGACCTGATCTTTCTGATTTGTTTTCTGGCTTCTACCCACATCTTGCCCTACCTCCTGCCTCCTGCCTCCTGCCTTGGCCCCTAAATTTTGTTCTTGGTTTTAACTTGAACACTGATCTTGGTTCCTAACATCAGTTGACTGAAACAGATAGACCAGTCAGAGAGGTTTCACTGTCCAGTCATTCGTGTGTATATTAGGCCATTTGTTCTGTCCCCAGTGGATGCCAGATCCTGCTAGGGGAGCAGGGGTGCCATGGAAGACAGCTAGGCACTGTGGGGAGGCACTGGAGAACACTTGGACTGCCCGTGAATCCTGGTCAGCACCCAGCTTTGTAGTAAATCTGAAGTCTTAATTAAAAGCAACAGTTGCTGTTTGCAGCGTCCCTTCGCCCCTACCCCTCCGAGTACCTCGCCATCCTGGCACACTGCTAGTGGAGACACTTAGGTGCAACCCCTGTACAGCAGAATACATTCGCTCCAAGTCTTTTGGGCACCTACTGTGCCAGGCATTGTCCAAGGCAGTGGGGATACAACAAAGGAAAAGAAAATGTCTCTTTTCCTCCTGGAGCCCCCTTTGTGGATCCTGTTTCTCAGTAGGAGACAGACGTAAGCGAGTAAAGGAACTAACCCTGAAAATGGGAAGCAGTTAAGTGAGTCCTACGCAGTGTGCAGTGAATTCAGACAGGGACTGGGGATGGCCCCCGGAGAAGGTGGTTCTGCAGCTGGACTTGAAAGGGTGAGGCCTGAGAGACTTGGAGAAGGACACGTCTTCCTCAGTGTTGACTTCTCAGAATGACAGATGGTCCAGCTCTTTGTGAACTCATGGGCAGGACCTTCCTTGTTGAGAGATTTGGTAAAGCACTGTTCAGGCGGGGTCCCTTTTCTTTCTTTTTTTTTTTTTTTT